CAGATCCGGACGTTTTCTCACCAAACCGTTCCAGATCTGAGAGCAGACCCATCAATATGCAAGAATAAGACATCAAGATTTAACGTGGAAAAACCTCCAAAAATAGAGGAAAAAACCACGGGACAACCTCCGAACAATTCCACTATATTTTCAAGATAATTACAATATCTTTTTACACTCCCTTACACTAGAAATGTAAAATATAGTGACCCAGTGAGAACCCCACTCCTAAACAAGGAATAATAGAGTTGATACCCAACCCGGTGTATTTGTCCCACACTCACAGGATTTACTCAAACACTCTATATTTATCTCACTGAAAAATAACAGACACAGAAATACTATTTTTGTACTCTCTTGTTCTCTCTTTTTTCTTCTTCTTCTTGGTGCGTCTTTCCCTGATGAAGACCCCCACTATTTATAGTGAGGATATCACATAAAACCTGTACCATATATTGCTACTTTTTTTCCGGTGCCAACCAAACTTGATTGCTTTTCATGTGCATAAGATGCCTTTTATTTTGTTTGTTAGTGCCAACAAAAATTGGCTGGATCTGACAATTCTCCCCCTCCAGTCAAAGGGTAATATTCTGCAAATCTCACATACATTCCATGCCGATCAACTCGGCACAAAGCTGAAGCTTTCTCCCAGTTACAACTTTCGTCATCATGTCAGCAGGATTTTCGTCAGTGTGAATCTTTTCCAACTTGAAATGTTGTTCTTACACTGCTTGACGTAGCCAATGATATCTGACATCAATGTGCTTCGTGTGAGAGTGGTACATCGCATTCTTACTCAAATCCAATGCGCTCTGACTATCAGAATGGATATCGTACCTTTCCTGCTTCATTCCCAATTGTTGAAGAAACCTCTTCAACCAAAGCATTTCTTTTCCTGCTTCTGTCATTGCAATATACTCTGCTTCAGTAGTCGACAAGGCAATAGATTTCTGCAATTTAGATTGCCAAGATACAGCTCCTCCTGCAAATGTAAACACAAACCCTAAAGTAGATTTTCTACTATCCAGGTCACCTGCCATATCCGCATATGTATAACCTTCAAGAATCCTTTTCCAAAGCTCAAGGACTTATTTGCACTGCCTTTTAGGTACTTCAAGATCCACTTCACAGCTTCCCAATGATCCTTCCCAGGATTGGAAAGATACCTGCTAACAATTCTAACTGCATGAGCGATATCTGGTCTGGTGCAGACCATGGCATACATCAAACTCCCGACTGCTGAGGAGTATAGAACACCCGCCATAGCTTCTTTTTCTTCTTGACTCATATGACAACTTCGCTTGCTGTGTTTGAAGTGATTGGCCAACGGCGTATTGACTGGCTTAGCAGTTTTCATGTTGAATCTCTCCAGAATCCGATTCACATACCGTTCTTGCAATAACCATAATCACTTGGATTTTCGGTCTCGCATGATCTGCATGCCCAAAATTTGTTTCGCAGGGCCCAGATACTTCATCTCAAAGGACTTTGCTAATTCCTTCTTCAAATCACCAATCAGCTTCATATCATGTCCCACTATCAATATATCATCTACATATAACAAAAGGATAATGAATTATCACCTGGAAATTTCTTAACGAACACACAATGATCTGCATCAGTCTTGGTATATCCATGACTCGCCATGAACGAGTCAAATTTATTGTACCATTGTCTTGGAGCTTGTTTCAGTCCATACAAGCTCTTCTTCAATCTGCAGACCATGTGCTCCTTTTCAGTTTTCTCAAATCCTTCTGGTTGCTCCATATAGATTTCTTCATCTAGGTCTCCATGAAGAAATGCAGTCTTCACATCTAGTTGCTCAAGCTCCAGATCCAAGCTAGTCACCAATCCGAGTACTACTCGAATAGAGCTCAGCTTCACAACCGGAGAGAATATCTCATCAAAATCTATTCCTCGCTTTTGTCCAAATCCTTTCACGACTAAACGAGCCTTGTATTTTAACAGCTTGTCACCATCTTTCTTAAGCTTGAACACCCATTTATTTTTCAAGGCTTTTCTGCCTTCTGGAAGCTTCACAAGCTCATAAGTTTCATTTTTCATCAGTGAATCCATTTCTTCTTGCATAGCTTTCATCCACTGAGATTTATCCTTATGAGTCTGTACTTCTTGAAAGCTTTCTGGCTCCCCTTCTTCAGTGATGGTAATATACGTGGAACTAGGGTATCTTGTAGAAGGTTGGATCGCTCGGTTTGATCTCCTGAGCTATGGTGGAGCTTCGAGGTCTTCCTGCTCAACACCTTCACCATCACCATCTTCTATTGCTGGCTCATCATCAACCCTGAGTTCTCCATCACACTCTCCCCCTGTTGTGGCATCTCCAGGAGGTTTGACAGGTGAAAGATCCACCTTTCCACTTGGTTCTTTTGTTTCTGGTGAAGCAGAATCAGACATAGTTTCTTGCTCATGGAACACTACATCTCTGCTTCTGATAATTTTTCGATTTTCTGGATCCCATAACCTGTAGCCAAATTCCTCATCTCCATAGCCCAGAAATATACAAGGAATGGCTTTATCGTCAAGTTTTCGTCTTTGTTCCTTGCTTACGTGAGCAAAAGCTTCGCATCCAAACACCTTTAAATGATACTACCTCCTTTTTTAAATAAATGTCGTTTTGACTTTTTTGATTCATCCATTTTACTATGTATCTAGACATATTAATGTCTAGATACATAGTAAAATGGATGAATCAAAAAAGTCAAAACGACATTTATTTAAAAAGGAGGGAGTAGTATTTAACATCATGTCCGGACCATACTCTTTCAGGGATATCAAAGCCCAAAGGAACAGATGGAGATCGGTTGATCAGGTAGCACGCCGTTAAAACAGCTTCTCCCCAGAATGGCTTAGGTAGCTTAGCCATTCTTAACATACACCTCACTTTCTCCATAATGGTTCTGTTGATTCTTTCAGCCACACCATTATGTTGTGGGGTTCCAGGTACAGTCTTCTCTTGTCTGATGCCATGCTCAGCACAATAATTCTTGAATTCATGGGAAGTATACTTCCCCCCATTGTCTGAGCGAAGACACTTCAAAGGTTTACCAGTCTGTCTCTCCACCATAGCATGAAAC